TCACATTGATGCTTGCAACGTTTTGTTGCCTTCAAATGTTGTTTGTTGTAAGCAACATTGGAAGGAGACAGAACGTTGTATTCTGTCTCCTTCCAATGTTGCTTACAACGTTCTGTCTTCTCACATTGATGCTTGCAACGTTTTGTTGCCTCCAAATGTTGTTTACACCGTTCTGTGGCCTCCCAATGTTTCTTACAACGTTCTGCCACCTCTAAATAATGCTCAACATATGTTGTCTCCTTCCAATGTTGCTTACAACGTTCTGTCTCCTCCCAATGTTGCTTACAGCGTTCTGTCTTCTCACAGTGTTGCTTACAACGTTCTGTCTCCTCCCAATGTTGCTTACAACGTTCTGTCTCCTCCCAATGTTGCTTACAACGTTCTGTCTCCTTCCAATGTTGCTTACAACGTGCTGTCTCCTACCAATGTTGTTTACACCGTTCTATATCCTACCAATGTTGTTTAAAACGTTCTGACACCTCCAAATATTCCTTACAACATTTTGCCTTCTCTAAACAGGTGACCTGTCACTGTAACCTATAAAACATGATGGTTCACGATTAACAGTGAAGGCTGATTGACTGGATCATGTGCCGCCATATCGGATTTCCTTCAAATCTAGGAGCAGCAAGTAAAATCAGTTCCTGCCAGCAAAATCAACAAGCTTGATCTGGATCAGTGATCTATCGAACCAAATGATCTGGATCAGTGATCTATCCAATCAAATGATCTGGATCAGCGATCTATCCAACCAAATGCGCAAGATCATTAGATCAGTCTGCTGCAGATGACAAAAAATCTTCAACAAAATTCAACAAAAAATATTCGCCATGTTATCTTGTTTTTACTTCCTCTTGCGTTACTCTTGCCCTTTCTTTCTTTTCATAACGACTTCATCCACCCCTCGCTCGTGCTCCTACGAAAGCAAAGCACTTTTTTGTCGGCGCAATTTTTCTACTTCGCTGTCATGGAGATAATTACTAAGGAAATGCATTACCATGAACCGGAACGCTGACAGTGAGTAAGAGAGAGATGTGAGTCACGATCATCGGAGTGTAGCGTTGAAGTTACATCAAGATTCATCATCATCATCATCATCATCATCATCATCATCATCATCATCATCATCATCATCATCATCATCATCATCATCATCATCATCATCATCATCATCATCATCATCATCATCATCATCATCATCAGCATCGTGGGCTTATATATGATTTATGATGAGCTATATAGTCTACAAGGCTGGTCTGGCTATACGCACTCTTAGCTCTAGAACTTTAGCCCTTCGGTCTGCCACAGGCATGTGGCACAGCGAAGGGAGTATAGTTCTAGAGCTACTCCTCTCTATGCTCGTCCCAGCCTGTGACAGAGCGAAGGGCTATAGTTCTAGAGCTACTCCTCTCTATGCTCGTCCCAGCCTGTGACAGAGCGAAGGGCTATAGTTCTAGAGCTACAGACACTGCTACCACCCCCACACACAAATCTTATCATTCCGACTCATTCGCACTCTTAGAGGAATATACTACAGCGTTCTTTAGATAACGAAGGATGCAGCTCGTACCTCCCTCCCTGTGGCTGTAGCTGATAACTTAAGTAATTAATAGATTAATTAATTTAATAAATTAAGTATATATAAGTAAGTTAATAACTTATCAGCTATCGGTTGATATTGTGTAGCGGCCACGTTTTAGTATTGTTTCAACTACTACTGCTGCTGTTGCTGCTGCAGCTGCTGTTGTTGTGGTCGTTGTTGTTGTTGTTGTTGTTGTTGTTGATGATGATGATGATGATGATGATGATGATGATGATGATGATGATGATGATGTTACTACTACTAACAATGCTGCTATTGCTACTGCTGCTGCTGTTGTTGTTGTTGTTGTTGTTGTTGTTGTTGTTGTTGTTGTTGTTGTTGTTGTTGTTGTTG